AATAAGCAGCCTTGTCTACCTGTCATTTGCCTACTTTCTGACTTTTCCCTGTAGCTACCCTCATTTATTTCCATTCTAACTTCTCTGGATGCTACAGGCATCAGAAACCAGAGCTGCAGCTGATTGATGCCATCTAACTTAAGACAGCACAACACGTCAAAGTTGTAACTGTGAAAAAGCACCAAAGTGACAATGAAGTATAAAGCTTCTTTCAAGTCAAAGGAGGAAAACAGAGCTGGATTTGTATTTTCAGTCACACAGCTGCCTTTCTAAATATTTCACATCATATATTTTTCAAGCATGTAAGTTAAGCCTGTGTCTTTGGCAAAGACTTTCAAAAGCAATTTAATTTTTCAAGGATGAAACCTAAAATTTGCAGGGAAAGAGGGTAAATGGTCACAAACAGATTCATTTAAGTAGAAATACACAAAATCACTGTTAATTTGGAAGAATCATGTAGTCTTTTTCTTGTGCCCTTTTCTTCCCTGATTTCACAGCACCCTGCTGCAAACACAATGAACAGTGCACATCAGCCTAGGAAGTGGGAATGAAAAAGGTTCCCTAATGGAACATCTTACCTGGCTAATAGCTTCTATCTTTGCAAGCAATGGCTCTGTGTGCCTCCCCACAGTGCAGGCTCACCATCTGCCTGTGTTCTAATAAATGAATTCACATTACAAACACAGAGCACAAACATACTCATATCCTGAGCTTACTGCACCCAAGGGTCAGATGTTTTTGCACTATGTATAACTAGCAAATGTTTGCTCCCAAATGTTTGAGATGGCTCACAATCTTTCCTAATAGCAATCATAACCAGTGAAAAATTAATCACAGCTATATTATGGTAAGGTAAAACTCCTTTAAAAAATACTTATCTATTTTCACTAATTGTATCTCAGCAATATCTTTGCAATATAAAATTCTGTTTCCTACAGAGTCTTGCATGTATTACTAACACCAGACACAATCAGATGCCACCTTCCTGCCTCTCTGGAAGATCAGTCTAATTTTGGAACCTGCAGGCTTCCATTTCCAAAATTTCACTTTTTAGATGAACAGCTTATTTAATTATATGTCATCTCTGATCTGTGAAACTCAGGATTTTTTTTTTCTTAGAAATTTAAACATAATCTTACCGTTTTTCCTTCACACACTGATGTTCAACACGGATATCCTCTCCAAATACACACAGATATATATATATATATTTTAACTAACTCTTTCATAAAGCACTTCCTAATTTATAATTTGTATCTCTCAGTATATTCAGATGTATGAACTGTTCAACAGATCAAGCAAAAAAAAATTATAACAGGTGGGCATATAAATGACTGTTTTCCATTTCATATACCAGCTTTCTCCTAGGAGACCAAGGCTGTACGTTTTAGAGTTCACTGCTGCTGCTTACAGCTGCTGGAATTTCAGGTCTCACTTTTACAGCACTTGGTTTCATAGAAGTGATGCAAAATCAACCATGGCTCTAGTATTATATTAGTTACTTAAATATTCTGCCTTTGGAACACAAGGAGCTTTCAGGTACCTGAAAGATGCACCTGAAATAGCTTTTTAGCTACCAAATGAACCACATAAAACCTGCTGTTATACTATCACCTAAAGTCCAATTGTTTTTTTCTCAGTAGTGCATATTTCTAAGGAAAGAAAGCTCACCCATCCATACAGTATAGACACAATACCTGTGTGGATTTCTGTCTAGTCATAGCGTGTTGTCACACATCACACCACATCAACCAAATCTGACAGAAGCTATCCTTTAACAGAAAGGACACACAATGTCAGATAACTCAAAGACTTCATACTTCTGTAAATTTGATGAAAATAGATGACAGTCAGACCTTACCCATGTCCTCACTGCTCATTAACATCATTCCTTAATACATGCTGTCCAGTTCCAGGAGGAGACATCAGAGAATCCCACACTGAAAAGCGGCATTTAGGATTCCTTCACTTCAGGAAAAACCTTAATCCAAGTTCATGCTTTACTAAACATCAGAGAATCTAATCTTAGGGTACCAAATCATTAAAAAAAGGGGTTTTCTCAGTCCCATTATTTCAACAATTATTTGCTTCTATCCTAAATATTGCTCAGAACAGGGTGTTGGCTTAAAGGAACTTACTACTCATGCTTTTCAAATAGAGCAGCTAGTTCATCTAAGGGGAACAAAAAGCAGGTCTTCTACAGACAATTGAGTCATCTCAGCAGCCTCCACTGACTGCAGACAAATGAAAGAACAATCAGGACATTTATTACAATCACAGCACAGTGGCTTGCTTGTGCAAGGTGAGCATGATGCAGTACATATATGCTTTTTTCAAGTGATTTTAATACCATTATCCCTGATTACTACATCTCCCTAAAGACAGTTCTACACAGAATGGTTTGGGTTGGAAAGGACCTTAAAGATCATCTAATTCCAATCCCCCTGCCACGGTTGCTCAGAGCCCCATCCAGCCTGACCTTGAACACTGTCAGAGAAGGAGCATCCCCAACTTCTCTAGGCAACCTGTTCTGGTGCTTCACCACCCTTCACAGTAAAGAATTTTTTCCTTATATCTAACCTCAATTTCCCCTCTTTCGGTCTGAACCAGTAACTGCTTGTCCTATCACTGCAGTTTGTTCAAGGATACAAGGTACAGGTATTGTTGGCATGTGCTGCTGGTGAGCTTACTTGAGCTTGGGAAGGCTTGGGGGAGTAGATCCCCTTTACTCAGCACTGCAGGAACCACATGCACCCCATCAGTTACTATCTCACATGATGAGGCAAGGATTTCTTAAAGCTGACTCAACTTCCTCAAACTTTACCACAGTTACAAAAATGTGCCATGATTTAAAGTTCACAGAAGCAGAGTCATAGAAACTAAATTAACCTTTCTGACCATTCATCTCAAAATAACATCTGCTTTATGGGAACTGTAGCAGAAGATCTTTCTGGCAGGGGCATTAATGCATGCTACTTTATTTTGCAGATCTGACTGGAAATGAGACTGAATGAGATATAATAAAAAAGTTAGAAATACTGCTCTCCATTTAACATGCTACAAAAAAGTATATACAGAAATAATGAAGCTATAGCACACACAAAAACATGTATTATGTTCTGGCAATAGTTCAGTGTAAAAAGGAACTCAGTGGCTGTCTGAGTCTATTAGCTAAGTCTATTGGGCTGATTCAGGTCTTCTGATTAATATTTTTGATTCTTGCCTATATCTCATTTCCTTTTGGGGATGAGCAGTTCATTGCACTTGCCTTTGCATGTGATGACAAGCACACAGCCCCATGACAAGGAGCCACGCAAGGCTTTCCTTCAGTCTCATTTATATGCTGTATACTCCAAAAGGATCAAATCTGCAGTCCTGAAAGGCACTTGGAGTTACAGGCTGCAAGCACCACTAAATATCAACAGAGCTCAGACTACATGTAGTCATTGCAAAACTGCCATGTTAAAGATGAACATGTGCTGATGAAAGCCACCAAATAATGATAACTCAGATTTGGATAGTGCTGTCATCATTATGTCTCTTTTTAGCAATAGCTTTTCATTTACTGTAAGTGTTACTAGATATTTATTACTAGCATGGCAGAAAGAGCTAATGGGTTGCATAGCAGGGGCCAGCAATGCATAAATCTCTGGGATAATATTCTCCATAAAAAAAAAGGAGATGACATGTAATAACCCTCCTCAAAGGGTCATTAGGAGAATTGTGAATGAATTAAGCATTTTCTTCTCGGAGGCCAAAGATTTGTGATCTGTTGCAAATTTATTTCTAATCATATCAAGTGAATAAGACCTTTGGCAGCTCCAATTTGTTAAAAAAATTTTGACTGGTTAACTTTGTAACATTAAGCTTCAGGCTGGAAAATTAGTACTTCTTTCGTTTCATGCACAATACACCCAGTGTTAAGAGCCTGGAAAAAAAAAATCATTATTATATCCTATGTCAGGAAAAAGTCACCCCTGGTCCACATCAGATGTGTATGACTGGGTCATCTAACAAAACACAAGTCCATTGGAATGACAGCTTGAGTCAAGCAATCACATACTTGTATATACAGCCAGAGATTAAATCCCTACTCAGAACAGGGCCACCCTCAAAGTCACAGAATGCTCAAGGCCTTGGCCAGTCCTATTCCAAGTATTCCCAAGAATGAAGGCTCCAAAACTTCACCGGACCCTGCCCCAGCATTTGATCTCCCCTTAGTATTTCACTGGAATTTCCCCTGTTGCAAATTGTGTACATTACACAGGCTCAGCACAGGCCATTGCACAAGGCACCGGATACTTCTGGGCTTCCTCTGCCGCTTGAGAGCAGCTGCTCAAAATGCAGGTTAAAGAGCCAGGCATAATTTTGAAACTACATCATCCAAGAACACAGAAAAGGTCCTGCAGTGCAAAGTGCCACGGGGCAAAGAGCTTTAAGGAAAGGAAGAAGTTCCTTCAAGCAGTTATGTCTGCAGAAGCAACAGTACAGTGGCTTTTAGCGGCAGGAAGAACAAAGACCAACACAACTTTCCTGGGAGTGATGGAAAAGAATTAAGACCTCTGCCCAGGAAAGAAGCAGCTGACTACACTTCATATCAAAGAAAGTACTCCCGACTTGCTGATTTCAGTTTCAAACAGCAAACTGACTTGCAAAACTTCAAATATGTCTGCACATTAAACGAAGAACAACTTAAATTAATTAGGGATAAATACAACCTGATCTGCTGACATGCTTCTTCAAGCATGAAATCAAATGAATTAGGATTTTACTTAGAATATAAACATTTGTTTACACATCTAAATGCTGAGCATATTAAAAAGATACTGTTATTAAAATATTAAAGCAGCTTACACTATACTGCTCACTGAGTCTGTTTCATTCCTGTATCTGAGAAAGTACACTCAGAAGTCCTACAAGTACTGAAAGTAAATGAAATACTATGACTTTAGCAAAAGCCTCAAAAATCACAAGTGACAGGAAACTCCATTATTTTAAAATAGTTTTTAATAAAAATGGAAGTTTATTTATATGCTTTACCTGATCCTCCAACAATGTTGCATAGGTTTTATTTTAGAAGCAGGAACACAGATGCTCAACAGGTTGCCTGCATCACTAAACCACCTTAAAATTGAATTAGAAATAGGATTCATATTTTGTATTCTAGGATGGAAACCAACAAGAAATACTGGATGCCAACATTTTTGGTTCACCAGAAAGATGAGCACACAGCTTATGTGCTAGCTTCCATTTCAAGCAAGCAATGCTGTTGCTGATCAGCAGGAACTTATGTCTCACTTGAAGGTTTTTGAAATTTGCTTTGAAGAAAAACTCTTGGAACACGCAAGTCTTCTTTCCTATTCACAGTTTCTCGCTGCACATATTCATTGACCACTTGCTCATATCCCTCAGCCCTGAAAAGCTGAGATAAGAACTCTGAAAGAGAATTAAAAAAAAAAAAAGATAAAATATTATGTTTAAGCTATTTTTAAAACACCAGACAGCATTTATATAGGCATATGTTCTTATGTGTTACAGAATGAAAATCACACAGGCCTTCAGATTTCAAGCTGTTCTATGTGGGCAGACTGCTGTACAAAAATCAATAAAAATCTCCTTTGGAAACATCAACCTAAGCAGCTTGTAAACCTCAGGCTTAAGCTAGTTACTCAGTTGAATTTCCAAAAATGCCACATCTCTTGTTTTTATTAAGCCTTGTCATTCTCATTGTGACTGACACCAGTGCATTTTCTCTTTGTGCAGCTGACCTTCACTACCTGAATAGATCATTTACCACAAATATTTAAAAGGTAATCCAGCTGTGCAGATGCACCTACTCTCAGGAAGAATAACACCCTATGTCACATGCAATTGCTCAACAGAAAAACTGACAAAATGGCAAAGAGGATATGGTGGTACCAAGACTCCACTAAGATGAACTGAAAGTATTTTCCATAAACAAAAAAATTTTCCTCAGAGCCTATTTCCCTTAAGGAAGGCAGAAGCACCTCACAAACAGGGTGACTTGTGCAGCAGGAAGGTCTGCTCATGCTATTGACTTGTTATGTTAATTAAAAATCATCATTTTTCCTTTCCTGCACCTCAGTTCTCTTACTCAGGCAGCAATTTCACAGTAAATTTAAGGCTGTTCTAAACTTGTGTTACTTGACAGAAAACAAAGACATTCAATTTTTCACTGCTCAGGGGGATTGGCTCGATGAAACAGTGATCATGTGGGTACAGGAAGCACCACCAGAGATGGTGTGTGGAGGAAGATGAGACCACCCACTCTGGTGGCACTGCAGGATTGTATCAACCCAAGCCCACCACGGCTGTAAACATTGTGTGTTCATGTAAATGGGGACCCACACCAATGAAATATAAATAAACAGCACTCCATTGTGGATCTATTGAAATCTTATTGTAAGGAAGTTGCACATATTTCATAATACAAAACTAAAACCATGCATTCCTCCACAAATTTAATATTATTTCAAACAGAAGAAGAATGGATTTTTCTCCCATGGAAGAAGTTGTGTGTTGCCATCTGAGGCCAGACATATTATAAATAAGTATGATTCAAATCATCCCATGCAGCAATAACTTTGTGTACCAATGTAGTGCTAAAGAAATGAAAAATAGCAAGGGTTGCAACCTCTGTGGAAATGATGGGAGTCATGTCTCCAGTAACAAAAGAATTCTCAAGCATTAAGCAATGTTTATATGAAAATCTGTGAAATGAATGAGATCATAATGATTAAAAATGGGAGTAGAGGTGATTTGTGAGACAGTCACAGACCAGCCCAAGGAAAAACAATTGCTGACATGAGCAATATAAAATAAATTCTCTCTTTTCTCCTTCCTTCCTCTTCCTCATCCCTACCTCAATTCTTCTTGCAAGGGAAACAAGCATACTAACAAGGAACTTCTCATTCAGAAACTATTCTAAAACACAATAAAAATGAGATTTAAGATTCCACAGAGAGGTCAGTCTCTTATTTGTTCCCTTTAGCATCATTCTCTTTCTAAGAGCTAATTGTTTAAACAGAACTAAAAATCACTCAATAAATAACAGTTCTAGAAATGCTTCAATGAAGCTGTAGCATTGCATTATCTTAGATTTCATTATTGTCCTACGAAGAATAGGGGGAGCTCACACAAAATTAATGTTTTTTATGTATCAGAAGCAATTAGTTAATATGTTATGGCATAAAATATGAATAACATTTACTTGGCCCCAAATCAGTCTCTTCAGCAGCTGTATCTTGCTTTAGACTAAGAACAAACAACCTCACAGAAATAAATTCACAGCTCTTGTTACACAATGCTCTACAAGTGATAGGGGGAGTAGTGAGTTTAGCATGAGGAACTGGGAGTTAGAAGCTATAGCCAAGCTATAAACCCAATTCATTGTGAGAGTCTAAGCAAATTCCTTCATGTCTCTGTGCTTCGAATTCTCCACCAGTAAACTGCAATAACTACCCTTCCTCCTAAACCATTATGAGCACTGAACAAAAACTAAATACTGTATCACACAGAAATGGTTTTCTGCATTGTCTTCACTAAAGAACAAACCCTAGAAGCCAGGGTGACCACAGCTAGTCAGTGCTATCCCAGGATTTGTGCATGAGCTTCTCAGCACTGCAGTTGTGGTTCTGCTTTTAGAAGTCAACAGACCTCATCCTGCTCACCTGCACAAAGAATGATGCCAAAAGAACTGCTTACTTGCTTCATGAAGGTGATTAATTCTTTTACTGAACACAGGTCTTTTCCCCTTAGGTAATAAAATCTGAATGAAATTCAGCAAATTCAGAAACCCCTGCTCTTGGAGAATTATAGCACACGCAACAAGCTTATAAACAAGAAAGCACTCCACAAAGTTCTGCCAGTCTAAATAACCGCTTCTTCCCCAAAAGGAAGGTAAATGAAATAAACCACAATTTAACACTTCATCCACACAGAATAAAACTTCCATGGGCATACTGACAGCTCCCTGGAGAAAGTTTGAACAGAAGATTCACAGAAAAGAAAGCACTGATACAACATATCTTACCTGCAGTAAAAAAATACGATCTTGTCCCATCTTGTCTGACATAAAAGTTTTCCCCAAGTTTGCTGCCTGATTTAAACCTGAGCATTGCATGATCATACAGGCCATAGTCTCGGAACAGGACACACTTGCCTGGTTTTAATACCTGTCACATAATACACACATGCTTTAATAAGCTAAACAGATTTAGTCATATATAGGAATATTTATTTGTGTACACATACAGACAAAGGTAACTAAGGCAAGGTAGACTAGCATAGTCAGTAAAAGATTACAAGAATACAATACAACAGTGAGATAGTTATCTACAGATAAATAGACAGATGGATGTAGATACAATTCATTCCCTATGCAACAAAAAGGTTGTGCAAAAACTAGATTGACTCTCAAAAATGTTTCCCCATTAATAGAAGACTACAACTAGTTTTAGAATACCTATTTGGGTGCTGATCAGCTAAATTATTAGCAACACTCTTCAAACACAGAGAAAATAAGAAAATACACAGTTTAACAAAAATTCCCATCAGGGCATTTTTTTCTGTTGGCTAGTATCCTGTTTAGCATTTGATTTTGTTTAATGGTTAACAATGAAATTTAGAATATCATGACATTTCTTTTTTCATGGGAGAAACAAAAATGCTGCAATATCTTGCAAAATAAATAAGAAACCATTTTAGGAAACTGCATAATGGATTTATAAAATTGATTTTTTGGTAAAGAAAGCAAGCTATAAAGAGTTTAAAATTTATGAATACAGGTCATTGCCCATGCTGATTTTAGATATCTAAATATTTATATAACCTAAGAACCAATCCTGATTTTGGAAAACAGCTGGCGATATTAAAAAAAAAAACCAAAACCACTAATATTCCTTTTTCAAACTGCTGATAATAAGCCAAATAACATCAGAAAATACAAGACTCTTAATACACACATATGCAAAAGTAAAAAGGTATGTTGATTGTTTTCCTCTGCAGTCAATATACAACATTTTGGGAAAATTCAGAACAATAACAGTTCAGGTTGTTTAAACCACCCTTTGGATGGGCCTGTCTTAGTCTATCAACTAACAAAGACAGCATAGGGGGGTGAGTCTAGATTAATGTTGACTTCTGAACACTCCACTTTTAAATCACCACAGATCAAATATGTTTCATAATAACAGCAACATCCTAACAACAGGTCACTGGATCTCTGGAAGTTAATTTTGGCTTTCCTGTAGGCCCCTTTCAGGTATCTGAAGGCCATATTTTATATATCGTTTTGTTACACTGATGGCATGAATTAGGCCTCAATCCAAACAATCTCACAATACCAGGAGAAAAATAAAGCACATTGTAGAAGATATTTTAGTCCTGCATACTCAGTGAACTAACGAAATACATGCATGGAATATAATATGAAAAATCACCATTGCAAGAGAGTAATTTTCTCAGGAAAAAAAATATACTTTTGAGCTAAAAAGAAGTGCTTTAAAGGCTGTAAAATCAGCTGGTTTTACCTTGTAAATATTCCTCAGGACAAGATGCATTTTGTCAGGATGAATGGCAGAAAGCACAAATATAAGTGTGACAACATCCACGGAATCTGCTGGTATATTGTCTAGAAGATCATCTTTGGTAAGATCACACTGGAACACTTTACACCTTTCTGTACTATATAAGGCATTTTTCTAGGGAAATTAAAAGAGCAAGCTTTCACTGAAAATTAGCAGCATTTGTTGCTACAATAAAGTAAAAATCTTGTGAAATTAATCAGCAGAGAGATACAAAACACAGTGGCAAGAGAATATTGACCTCCAACAGGTGGCTACTGCTATCAGAAATTCTTTGCTGCTAACTACAATAGTGAAACTACAACTAGTACAATAGCCTGTTCTCAAGAATTTGAGAAGGAATGTGCATTAAGACAATTCAGAAAACTTACTATTTCGGTTTTACCCCTGCTTCTACTCTTTAAAGAACACAAACTCTATTGAAAAAAACCTCCACATTAGAGGGTGATGAAAGTAAAGCTCTTGAGCTACAGGAAGACTGCAAACAGTTGGGATTCCTGTCACATAATCTGCAGCTGGGCTGCTGTAGCTCACAGTTTTACGGTGGAAAAAAAACCCCCAGCCTCGGCAAAAATTAAATTCAGCAAGAGCTGTGGAGGCAGATACCATTAAGTCATCCAAAACCCAGGGTACAGGCTCAGCCCAACCTCATCTTGGGGCGCAGCCACAGCATCCCAGGGAGCTGCCGTCCTCTTCTGTGTGCCACAGGCACTTCCCATCTTTCGCATGACAAATCCTGTCCGTGTCTCGTGGTTCTCAGTCACAATGCTTTCAGTTAACAGATATATAGAAATTTACCTGTGATTACACACTTCATAAAGAGTTTTAATGCCCAAAGCCCCCACCAGAACTACTGCAAGGCTCGACTTTGGATTGCAGTACCCACGACTTAGTGTAAACATACCTACTCCTAATCAGGTTACAAATTCCTCTAACAATAATTTTCCCAGCCTTGTTTTTAAGGTTCTCCTTGGGACTCCCTCTATTAAGGGCAAGCTTCCATGCCAAACAAATTTTGCTTTTATTGCACAGTCAGCAGAGACATAGTAGTGCTCCCAAAAAGCATTATCTTCATAAATCATGCAAGTAATATACCATAATGCTCTAATTTGACACTGAAAAGCCAAATCTTGAGCAATGATTTGGCTTCTTACATAGGATCTCCACTGAAATGCATCAGTCTCAATTTTTTTGGCAATGTATATTCTACCCTTCCTACAAAAAGGAAGCCAAGAGAAGTCTGTTGTTACAGTCATTTTTAATTTTAGAAGCTTCTAAAAAACACTCTAAAAGAAGTTCCAAATATCACACCAACCTTCACATACTCCACAGCTCTAGGAGAGAAATCACAGGCATATGCAAAAATATTCTTATCTTCTTCTAAGAGTGGAAACAAGCAGTTCCCAACCCCACAGCCTGCTTCCAGAATGGTCAGTTTTTGATCTGCAAACTGGGGAGGAAGCAATACAAGACAAAATGTAATTTTTGTTTTCTCATCATATGAGCAGAGGCACTGTTCAACCAGCATTTTAAAAGCTATAATCAATTTTAATTACAGTTCTTAAAAAAAAACCAAAGCAGACAGCCACTGCATAATCTGACACTAAAACCCAGACATCCCGAATTTCCGCAAAATTAGAAATAATTTTAGAACATATTAATATTTCTTCAGTTATCTGCCCCTTAAGCAATCAACAGACTTGTGCCATTTCTGTCTTGTCTTTCATTCAGCTGTAAGCAACAACAGATGCATCTGGCTATTCCCCTTAACTGTGTTCAGCAATCAGCCTGCAATTCTGGATGCTTTTCTCTAAAGCAGTGTACTGAAATGCACCAGCTTGCACACAGAGAGGCAAGCTGTCTCCTTTAGGACTCGAAAACCAAATATTCCAGACTGCATTCTCAGCATCCAGGATGCTATGAACAGCATCCCCATGCAGTAAGGGCCAATTATAAACTGAAACTAAACTGATGCATATGATTCTGAGAAGTTATCTTTGATACTAAAAGAAAATACACAGGACACTGCAAACTCTACATGTGTCAGCTCTCACCGAAATGGCTTTGCTCTAAGTCCTGGAAACAGCTGATTGGAAACAATCAATCCCATCTTTTCCAGCAGAATTGCACGGATCTCACCTCACGACATGCCTTTAACTCTTGAAACTCTCTGGTTGTCCAATGTCTGTCTTTGAAGAAATTGGTGCTGTTTCTTTTGTAAAATAGATCCCAGTTCTTCTGTGCCTCTTTCTCCAGTTTTAGTTGTTTGAACTCAGACACCAAAACCCGATCTTTTGCCAGTTTTTCCACTTCTTCTGGGCTAAGGACTCGAGCACTATGGCCTTTTTTTTGGAAAGCACCATCTTCAGGAGATGTTGTTACTATATTTAAGCAATTTGCTGACGCCTTTTCTTGGAACATCCTAGATTCTTTTACACAAACATGAACACCAAAGACCCAAGGATGATTTTTTTTTCTTTAGTGTATGGTTCCATCACTTAACTTAGGTAAAATAAGCAAGGCTCTAGAAGCAGAATTAAAAATGAGAAATAATTACAGTATGCACTTACTACAACTTTAGTGATCTGTCCAACCTGATGGACTTACATGTCACCAGAATTCTCTTAATTTCAGAAAACCTTCATCTAAACTAAGAGCTGTATACACCATCACACTGATGTTAAAGTTAAAGAAGATACTTCAGAGTCTCCTGGTTCTCCCTCTGCATTCTAGAAAGCTACCCAACAAGAAAAAGACGATGCAGCTCTAACTTTATTTTCACTAAAAGAGACTTGAGAGGGAAAGCAAAGGCTTTGTTTCTCATTAACCTCACTTAGAACACTTCAGAAAAAAAGGTAACTTAAGAACAGATGACACTTAACAGCCACATTCAAATTAATGAAACAAAGTGTATTAATATTAGCATTTCTCCTTCCTGCTCTCAACTCTCTGAGAAAACACCCGTGAAAACAACAGCATTTATAACACTGCATCACCTAAAGAAGAGAACAAAACCAGTACTGTGGCCAAAATGCCCAGAGCTGGCCTGTGCCAGCATTCATCCCACTGCCTCCTCCTGAGGATTCACACTGGTTTTAATAATCACAGGTGGTTTTATTTTCAGACATTAACAAAAAGAGCTTCACATAGGCTGGGAAAGGAGTCAAACATTTTCTCTGATGTTAAACTGGTTCTGACAAACAAGAGTAGTACTTATGTATCTTATCTTACGATAAAACACATTCTATGACACACATCAAGGATCATATGTACATGTTATATACGATGCTATCATGATATATACACGTCATGATGCAAACACAAACATAAAATATGGAAGCGCGCAAATGAAGTAAAGAACTGTCAGAATTTCGTCCGGTGTCACAGACACACCCCCTTTTCCTCCAAGAACAGCGCAGGAGGTTATGAAGAAGAGGCTCCTTCGAAAGGACGTCTCTTCAAGAAGAGCACATCCTCAAAACAAACAAAAAATCAGCAAAATTTCTGCCGTATTTCTACAGACGCCTATGTTCCAGGCGCGCTCCATTATTTCATCACAGAACGAGCGAGAGAAACAAACAAACGCAAGCCAGTCCTTTCAGTGACGCATCTGCCGCGGCGGGGAGGCAGCGCGATGATAAACTCAGTCACAACAGCCCATGCTTAGGCTAAAAAGCCTTTTAAAGGTGTTTAATCCAGAGCTAAGCCCACAAACATGTAACACCTCTGTGTGATCCTCCGGTCCCCCCACGCGGAACCGGCTTCCCTCCAGCGGCTCCTGCCCCAGTGTAGCCGGGGCTTGGATACCCCGGCAGGGAAGGAGAGGAAAGCCCCTCCTGCCCTGCCCTACCGAGGGCGGGGAGCGCCGCTCTCCCACCTCCCCGGAGACCCTCCCCGGGGCAGCAGCCCCAGCCCGGCCCCGGGCCCCCGCCTCGCCCCGCCGTACCCGCCGCCAGCCCCGGAGAGGGTTCCCGGAAGGGAAAGCCAAGAATTTCCGGGAGGACGCCGGGCGGCAGCGCACGGAGGACAGGGAAGGGACCGGCCGGGCCGGGAGCGGGGCCATGAACGGCTCGGCGAACTCGTTGCTGGACAAGGAGGAGCACCCACTGCAGCTGGGCGAGAGCTTCGAGCGGCGGCCCAAGGCCTCCTTCCACACCATCCGCTGTGAGCGCCTCCCCCGCGGCCGCCTCTTCCTCCCCGCTCGCGTCCGTCCCGTCCCGTCCCGTCCCGTCCCCCGGCTGCGCTGCTCCTTCTGCCGCGCAAACCCCTCTGCTCCCCTCGCCTCCTTCGCTCCGCCATCGCGGGGCTCCGTCCCCACTCGGCGCCTCTCCTACCCGCATTCCTGCTTCCCCTTCAGCGCCCTGCTCCCCCAGCCATTCCCTGCTGCCCCTCCAGCACCCGTCAGCCGCTTTCCCGCTCCCTCCGCGCCCGTCTTTCCTCTCCACGAGTGTTTTCCCCACAGAGGAGTCCAGCCCGGGAAGAAAGGGAAGGTGGATGCTGGCGGAGAGGGGGCTTGAGCGAGGCAGGCAAAGGCAAAAGAACAGCTTTAGAAAGTTTGCTTGGAATTAATTAATCGCTTGGAAGCCTGAAGAGTTGCCCCCGTAAGGCGGTGGCTTTGCCATCTTATTTTGCTCTCTTTGTGGCAATTAACGCAGGACAGGTCCCACGGCAGGCCCGGCCTGGGGAGGCAGCCGGAGCATCCAGAGCTGGGTTCTTAACTGGGTGTTTTCCTGATGAAGCAATGTGTAGCCCAGCTGAGCTGCTCCTGGCTGTCCCGACTCCAGCCAGCTGTAATAAATCACTGCCCCAGGAAAGCCAGTGGAAGGGACTTGGACACTTACAGTAATGCCTAATAAATGCAAGATAAATCCTGAGGTAGATTGTTTTGAAGAGGAACTCACTGTATTACCATACTTGAATTCTGTGGGGCAAGAAATCTGAGCAAAGCGAGTCCAGTTTTTATTACTAAAATGACTGGTAAACCTTCAGGAGTAAATGTAAAGAATACAAAACTTTTAACTTAGTAGTTTTCTATGAAAGTGAGGAATTTATACAAAAAACAGTATGATATTTTGGTTTATGATGCACAAATATAGGCCTGGTCTCTCTGCCCATATTCATGCACCACAAATAGTAGTTTCAGTGATTCTGGTCACCCAGGTGCCTCATCCTGTGTGAATTAAACCCAAACTATATCCAAGTGGAAATATACTGGATTTCTGGAATGGAAAGTGCTTCAATAACCAATTTCCTAAGGGATTGCAAAGCCAAAAGTCTTCAGACTACAACTGGAAGAATGCAGTTTTATTTAAGAAGTTCTTTCTGAATGCTCTATTTTCCATCTGTGACTTTTAAATGAGATTTCTTCATTGTCTTGCTATATTTTTCCCCTAACTGTTGTTTTGGAATGATTTATCTGGGATCCAAACATTATATTATTGCCATAATCCTCTTCACACAAACTACAGTCAGAGGATTTTGTAGGCTACATTTGTTTCGACCTCCTTAAGATACTTCATTCCTGCACTGAGAAACTGGATTATCCTTGAAAAACACATCTTGAAAACATTTGATTTTTTGGAAAAGAGCTGTGGGTATATTTGGTTACGACCTCCTTAAGATACTTCATTCCTGCACTGAGAAACTGGATTATCCTTGAAAAACACATCTTGAAAACAGTTTTGAGAAAAGAGCTGTGGGTATATTTAGAGGGAAATATGTGCTCTCAATCTACATGAGGATTAGCCAGGCACGTGCTAACAAAATGAAAACAATTAGTTGAATGTTTGTTTAAAGTAACTCTATATTGCTGTGCCTAAGAAAGAAGTCTGGTAGTGATATTCCTTTTAAGTTGATGATGGTGCTGTTGAAGCTCTTGATCCCGTTTTGGCAAAGACACTAGCTCTTGTACAGCTGGTTTATTTTATTTAGCAAGCTTGCACATAAAGTAGGTGGGAAACAATAGCTAGAAACAGATTGCCCAGATGAAATTGAAGGCTGTGATTTGATCTGGCAGTTAAGGCATGAGGATTAAGTCAAGTGTGTCTGATTCTGCTTGTTGTGCTGTCAAAGTAAAACTCAATTAAACATTAACATCCTCTTAATGAGAATTTATTACAAGCCAGGGTTTGGAGTTTTTTTTCCTGCAAATGTGTTTTTCGTAGTGGATTAGAAGCCAGGGTTTGGAGTTTTTTTTTTCCTGCAAATGTGTTTTTCATAGTGAAATTATATTTTAAATTTGTTCTGAGGTATTAGTTTCGTAACTAATGCAGTAATTAAATACCTTGATCGTGAATATAATTGCACCTCTTCAGATGCAGGGATGCTAGAGTTTGAATGCAGGCTTCTTATGAAAACAAACACAAGGCAAACTAGCCTATATCTGTGTGATTTTATTTCAATTTGTCTAAATCCTCTCTCAAGACATTAGAGGTTCTGATAGGGTTTTTTTTTTTTCTGTTATTTTGTGGCTTACCAGCTCAACAGAATAATGAGGGGGAAATACTTTTAATTTAAAATGTTCTCAGTTCAAATGAATGCATTAAACAGAAGTGCCTTGGTTTTGGAGACAAAGCATTGTAAAACAGAGCGAAAATACCTAAAACAAGTGTTAGTTTAAAGCCAGTACAGTGCTTCCTCTTACTGATGCTTTCTGTCCACAGTGGCTTTGGACCAGCATGAAGCTGCTGTAGTAAGATCAGCACCTCACTCTTTCCTCATAAGTGACAGCTGAGATCTCCTCCACCCATGTGGAGCTTTTAGCACTATTGTGGAGGCGAGATGGCCATTAAAGAGCTTGAAATGTCAGTAAGGCTAAATAAGTGGGTGTCATTAAATTGGTGTTTGTCACAGAGGAGTCCTCAGGTTTGCAACTGGCAAGAGCTAAGCAGAGCCCAGGGTTTTGGAGGTTGTTACTCTCCTAAGTTTGATTGGTACAATTTTACACTTGCCTGTAAAACCAAGTGCCACTCAAAGCCTGGGGTTTGGAGAGGTCTGCTTTTGGTGTTCAAACACAAGATCTAGAACCTTATTTCCATTTTAAAAAGGAAGTTCAGGATATGGTACCACCACATGACTGGATTGCTACTTGTAGACACACTGTACTGGTGTGTTACTCCACCCCTGCTGTAAACACTAGTATGTGCTTTACCATTCCCTATAATCACAGTAAATGTATGGTGGCTCTTTGCAGGGCACACTGATGCTTGTGAAGACTCTAACAAATGTAATCACTGTTGTTTTCCTCTTTAGATGATTTTAAGCCAGCATCGATTGATACGTCTTGTGAGGGGGACCTCCAAGTGGGTAAAGGAGATGATGTTACCATCACTTTGCCACATATTCCAGTAAGTCTGTTATATATGTGCTCCTGTTTACTCTCCAACAAATTTGCAGTGTTGTTACAGTCTAATGTAAATGCTATTTTCACTTTCTTTATTAGCACTGTGGGTTCAGTATTTAAGCAGCTGGACTTGTAGTTTGTTACCTTAGGAAAGGACTGTACAGTTGGATCTTTGTAAAGGGCTATATTTCTAAGGTTGCCAGATTGTTCTTTGCTTTTGATTCCTTCCTTCCTACTCTTCCTTGAAAGGCAAAGAGACTTTTACTGTTATCTGAAGCTGTACGCCTGGTTCCCATCCATTTTTAGTGCTGTGTCTTGCTGAAGAAAAGCAATGTAACTCAGGCTTCAGTCAAGGTTGGATGTTCAGAACCCACAGGCAGACCTGGAAGCATGCTCCTGCCCTTACTCAGTCATGTACAGATAGGGCATAGAGGGTTCCCTGCGTTTAGCTTTATCAGTGGAAGCAAGGGGACAGTCCCAGTGAGTGGCCATGAAGTAGTTTCCCATCCACTTCCTTCCCTAATGATGCCATAAAGATCTAGTGTGTGAGGATGATGGTCAAACAGCAATAAAACAAGTGATCAATCTGTTTATTAGTGCAGCTGGTTTGTAATTGAAGATTCAGTGGTTTCCTTACCAAAACAAAAGAAAGTGCTCGTGTGCTGGAACTGGATTTGTTTATTAGCTGAAGTTAGTGCTATGTGTCAAGCCAATAAACCAGAATTCACAGACATCAATGGGTCTGGTAGCTGCAGGGGGGCACCAGTCAGTTTGGAAGCCATGCGTCAGATCTTTTTGGTATTGTTCTTCCCAGCACGCCCGTGGTTTTAATTGGTAGGTGATGGTTCTGGGATAATTCTCACTGAATGAAGCTGTAGCCTGCTTCACCCTGCTCCTGTTCTTTATATGGCTTTGGTCACCTTCAGTGCTGCAGGAGGTCACATACTGGTTTTTGTCTATAGAAATGATGAGCATGGTAATGCTATTGGAGAGCAGGTAACAGGTAACAGCACAACTAACAGCATTCATCTTGGAGGTCACCTTCAGTGCTGCAGGAGGTCACATACTGGTTTTTGTCTATAGAAATGATGAGCATGGTAATGCTATTGGAGAGCAGGTAACAGCACAACTAACAGCAGCATTCATCTTGGTTTAGTTGGAAACAGAGTTGCTCATTCATTTTTTGTGTTGAGCAGCATCACTTGTAATGTTCCTTTCCAAATCTCTGTACTGAGGAGCTTAATTTGATTATCTTGCCCTCAGTATGAGCAGCCTTGAGTTTATGGTATACTGCAAAGGCTGAGGCAGCCAAGCCACTCTGTGTATGTTGTTCCAAGGCAGTGATGCCTATGTTCTGGACAGAGAGCTAGAAAACACTTGGCATACTGGAAAAGAATTAGAGGTTTTGAGATCATTTCATCCTGACAAGTTTCACTGAATTTCTTGGATGCTGCTTTGCTTCCCAGTTGTCCAACAATTGGATAGGATTCAAATTCTGAGTTGAAGTTTTCCTTTTGAAATTGTCTAATCCCTGAGAATATCTCTGATAATTTGTTTGGTGGAAATATTTCAGTGTCTCTTGTAGCTTGGATAAATTGAAGTACTATTTCTACATGTGGATTTAGTGAG